GAAATATGAAGCCACTTACCCCAAAAACTCGTGGCGCAATAGTCTATGGTCATAATTGTGGACAATCAAGTCGCACAATAGCTAAACGGTTGGGGTGTGGGAAATCAACTATTAATGATATTCTTAACCGCCTTCATGAAACATATTCTTTAACTCCAAAAAAACAAAGTGGCCGTCCGCCACTTCTTAATTCACCAGCTCAACAAGAACTGAAAGCCTTTGTTCAAGAAAATGGTGAAAACCGTCGACTTTGTTCAAAAAAGCTTGCAACAGTTTGGACAGCATATACAAAACAGCCTATTTCTGCTGTTACTATACGCCGTAATCTTAAGAAAGTTGGGCTTACTTCTTGTATACCTCGTAAAAAACCCGCAATGACAGAAGCACATCGTCAGGCTCGCCTCGAATGGGCCCATGCACACAAAAATTGGGGAGAAAGAAAATGGAAAAGAGTACTTTTTTCAGATGAAAGTACTTTTACACAATTTCAACAAGGTCGTCAAGGAAAGGTATGGCGTGAACCTGGAGAAGAATTAAACCCAGATTGTATTGCAGTTACTGTAAAACATAGTCCTAGCAAAATGTTTTGGGGGTGCTTTTCTTGGCATGGACTTGGACCAATTGTTCCATTAAAAGGCTCAGTTACTGGTCAAACACATGTTGAGGTTATTAATAAATATGTTGTACCTACCTTGAATAAGTATTTTCCACAAGGTAATGGAATTTTTCAGGAGGATAATGCTCCACCACACCGTTCAAAAGTTGCTGTTGCTGCTCGCGAAAATGCTGAAATTGTGAAAATGGATTGGCCTGCACAAAGTCCTGATCTAAACCCGATCGAGAACCTTTGGATGGAAATGAAAGTAATGGTTCATCGTCGTACCCCACCACCATCTAACATCCAAGTACTTGAAAAGTATGTTAAAAATGCGTGGAAGGATATTCCGCCGGAATATTACAAAAATTTAATTAAAAGTATGCCTCGAAGAATTGAGGCGGTTATTGCTGCAAATGGGAATAGTATTAATTATTAATAATTTAATTTTTTATGTAAAAATTAATAAATAAATACAAGATAAATA